CGAGGCATCCTAGGTGTATATGACTTTCTTCTTTCAGACGAATCCAGTCGGAGTTATATTAAAAATTGTCTTTGATCTTTCAAGCTGTTTAATAGCAGTCAGCGGGTGTTGCAGTGCATCAGTCCAAAAGAAGTGAAATAAAGCGCATCCATCCATAATAAAATGTGCCTCACACGGCTCCGGGGGATGAACAAAGGCCTCCTGTAGCGAATCGATGCATTTTTGTAAGAAAAATAACCATATTTAAAACGTAATAATCACTTTAATCTAGTTTGCGCCAACAGTTGTACACGGAAGCAGCTTCGGGAGGATGACGTAAGATGTCGGACTTTTTATTATGGATGGATGCGCTTTATTTAACTTCTTTTGGACTGACGAACTGCAACACCCGCTGACTGCCATTAAACAGCTTGGAAGATCAAAGACAATTTTTAATACAACTCCGACTGGATTCGTCTGAAAGAAGAAAGTCATATACACCTAGGATGCCTCGATGGCGAGTAATTCATGAGCTAATTTTCATTTTTGGGTGAACTACTAACCCTTTAAGTTTAGGTATGAGCTAGAATTAAGGGATCTAAAATATGATCATGCAGAATAAGGCATTAATATGTGCTTTATAAGTCCTAATAAACAGCCGATATGCTAGTAATTAATATGCATGCTAATAAGCAACTAGTTAAAAGTTAGAATTGCTCCCTAAACTAAAGTGTAACCGATTTATTTCATAGTGTAGACTAAGTTTAGAGAAACTCACAGGTCTTTGAATGAAGAACATGGTTACAGCGCCCACGATTGGGACGTCACCGATCAGAGGCTCCAAAATCACACGCATCATTCCATGAAGCTGACAGAACAAACGCAAGTGGAATAAACTCTCATTCATTTATTTATTGGGAGTGTGCATCAAATCTACCGTCACAACGAATAATCTCACCTGTATTCCCTTCACACCAGCCTTGCAGAAATACCTCTTCACCTCCACATTTATCTCGACGTCCCCCACGTAACTGGAAAAAGACACGTTGAGGATACATTAGATGCTTTTTAATCTTAACCCTCTACCGCATGGTGTGGCCATATGGCAACATACATTCATTTCCTTGCCACTGTCTCTTTAAGAGAACATTCTCGTTTTTTTTGGTGGAAAGAGAAGACCTTAGTTTAGCCAATGATGTGCTTTGGTTAAGTCACATGACATGCAGTTTTTTTCTGTGGC